CCAGGTCTCACTTTCACAGCAATTTAGCCTTGCCTCAGAATTGTTACATTATGGGCAAATGGTTTGGTTGTGACACAGGATCGTTTTCAGAAAAGCAGCAGACGGTGTCTAGGAGCAGGGAAAAAAAGGTCTTTATTGAAAAGGTCAAAAGGGACGTAAAGGCAAAAACTGACTTTTACCAAAACAGAACTGGAGACCAGGCCTCCAGTGTCCTTTTTTTAATTCACTGCTTGTTTCCAGGCCCCATGATAGAATTCTTCCATAACATACAGAGGACTTTGTTAAATTGTAAATGAGTATTACTTCAAGCACTCTGTGGAAATATATTCTCCCCCTATAGCCCATACATTATTTCTGCTTAGTTATAGTGGCTCACATTTCCCGTAACTATCAGAGAGAACTTAATTCAACTCACACCACATCACTTTACAATTGTGCAGCTCTCTTAATCAACCTTTGCATCAGCCACGAATGTGCAGTATGACCTAATTTGAAAATGTCTCAAAGTGCTGACTCAAACTGTTAGTGAATAAAGGCTAGTCATTACCATTATGACACTAATGTGATGCAAAATAAAATTGAGTTGCATCAGCTGAACATTAGTTTGCAAAAATATTAGTGATTGAATCCATTTTCTGTTCATATTTTATTTATACTTATATATGTGTACATATATACATATGCATATATTTATTTTTTTGTTTGAAACAGGCTTGCGACAAAATTTTTAAGGGCAGAGGAAGGAAGCCACATTTGAACACGGGAAAAAGACACTAGGTTAAATGCTGATAATATGTCTATCGTGATCTCCTCTCTATAAGATGAAGACTTGTTGTTGAAATCTTATGAGGATATTTATATGCACATAAGCAATAGCATATGAAAATTATCATCTTGTTCTGTACTTTGGTGCTAGATTCTAAGGTTTCTAAGAGCCCTGCCACTTCTTACTACATATTACTCAAAAATTTTGACTTTGTATATACAAATGACAAAGATTTGAGATTTATTTCTTTCATGGGCCTTCTTTCCTTCTTCCTTACTTGAAAAAAAATTACTTTGAGATAGAAATACCTTTAATAAACACTGTCATTAGTTACTTATGAACAAAAGAAAGTGAGACATAAAACCAGACATTCTTTAGCCTCATCCCGACTGATGATACTTCGTGGACAGCAACCTCAATGATCTTTTTCTTACAGAAGTCAGATGGTTTGGAGGAAAAACTCATGGGCTTATTTAATACGTATGCATCCTAAAGCTGGTATTGGTTTCAAATTCTAAGCTGATAAGTAGTTATTGAAAATAAATGTGCAGAAACCTCTCTTTAATTAGAGAAATTTCCTAATAGTAAATAAGAAACTCCACCCTGTATCTCATTTTGGATCTCCAAAATTCTGAAAATTCTGAACATAAAAGTGATGTATTAGTGATTAAATACTTCTGGTTTTATTTCTTTAATAGTTCTAACAAACTTAGCACACAAATACAAAAGAATACGTTGTCTTTTAAAATTGTCGAGGACAAGAAGTTTTGGCTATCAAGAAAGTATTTGACCTGCTTTCAATTGAGAGAGTATATGTCTTCATAATGTATCACTATAAGTGATCAGTAGAGAATACAGCTAAAGTAAAATGCTGGCAAGCTCAGTTCATTCACTTTTTAGAAAAACAAGTAAAACCTTCCAGCAAGATGTGTAGAAATTTTCTACTATGTAATAATTTTCATATTTGAATCCATTTTACATTGTGTAATATGTGGCTTAGGCTGTTTTCATGACCTGTGCTTTATTTCTACATCAAGACAATCCACATTTTAAAAAAGGAAATGTTTGAATAATTTCAAAGTGAACTTGCCAAAACCAGCATTCGGAAGCACGGGTGCTCACGCACACAAACACAAGGAATCTTTCCATTTACCTAAAAACGGGGCTTGCCCTTTGTAGCTAAAACACAATAGTTCTTATTTTTAGGTTACCGTGGGAAAAGGTATGTGGGTGTGATTCCTGCAAATGGATTGCCAGTCTCTTAACAGTTCATCATTCTTAAATGATGGAAGTATAGCAACACTCTTCTGAGAAACATCTTTTCTGTAGATTTTACTTTGTCCATGCCAGGACAAAGTGTGTGCTAAGTTGGAGTAATTCTGAGATGTGAGATACTTCCATGACCGTCCTTGGACTACCAAGGAGCTGGCATTCCTCTTTGGAAGATGAGGAGAGAATGCTCCCTGCCCTCTTAATTGATGATTTACTGTGCTTTTCCCTGGGACCACAACCGATGATCTGTAAGCTTGTTGAATTTTGAGGCAAATACTAAATATAATCAATATAAAAAAATATTTAAAAAAAGAGAGAAAAAATGCAATGAAAATTTATGACCTTAACATTCCTTCAGGGTCAAGCAATTTATCAAATTCTCTCACTTTCTGGTTTCAATTACACAGCTATTGTGGAAGGAACTTATTTTAGCAGGTTCATTTGCCTCAGTGGGGAATACAGGACTTTGGCCTAATGCTTCACCTTTAGTGCAGGCCATTTGAGCCTTAGAACAAATACCAATCATCACTCTTTGGGAAAAAAGAATCTGCATCGGCGTGGCCTATTGGAATGGGGTTTCTGTCAAGGTAAACGGTTGTCGGCAATGACTGTGGTAGAGTGGCGATAAATCCCATTTTATTGCTGAAAAATTCCAGCTTCTCTCCATGCCTGACAGCTCCCCACATTCTCATACCCATTTGGGCAATTTCTGCACTATGTCCATCTGGTTCTCATTACCTCTCAACCTGCCTGCGTCTGATCCAGAAAAAGAGCAGGTCAGAAATGGGGCTGGGTTGGGGGGGGCGGGGTGGGAAGAAACCAAGGTGATGAACAAAACAGAAAGCAGAGGGGTGGCCCGTGAGGTTCAGGGAAGAGTTGAGGTTGGGCAGAATGGGGATTCCAGCTAAGGCCCTGAGTGGTTTTGAGAAGGGGCCATGTAGATCATTAAAAAGGATCATGGCAGAGCTGGAGCCAGAAGCCAGAGAAACTTGTATCTTTAGACCCAGGCATTGAAAAGACACCTGTTTTGAGGCGAAAGAGAGAGAAAGGAGAGAGAGAGAGAATGTGGTAGGTAGGGGAGGGAGGGGAGGAATCTCTAATAAGGGCACTGCCGGCTGGATTATCAGAGCAGAGGACCTGTTCTAGAAAGGCTCGGAGCACCGTGTACACAGTTGGCAGGCTTCTAAATATGCGGATCAAGCCCTGCTGGAGATTCGATTTTGGTTCAAAAACATATGTTTTTGAGGACAAAGAAAACTCTTGGCTCTCCAACCTTATTGTCTCCATTCATCTTTCAAAGAAGAATAATATTTAAAAACTAACTTGTCTTAATTAGGGCATTTAGAATGAGAGGACTAGCATTGAGTCACTTGGGAATCCATAACCCTACCTATAATCACTTTTGGAAGGGAGTGCATTTATGCCTTCAAAAAGTCGGCCTCATTTTCTGAAGCTGAAATTCTTTTGATCATAATTACTTCTGACCTAAAATTGCCCAAGTCACCATACAATGCCACACTGGGACAAAAAAGAAATACGTATTGTATGTATCTGACAACAGATATAAACTATCAGCCAACTTAAATAGTATCATAAGTTAAACTACGATGAAACTATACAATTATATATTTCTGAATATGAAATTTACTCATTATTATTATTTTGATGCAGTAGGTGGGGCCATTGTAATAAATACTAAAATAAGAGTGGTTAAAGTATTCTGAAATAAAAAGATTTGAGAGCTTTGCATAAAAATTAGAATCAGATGAACGATTGCATAGATGTAGTTATTTCACCACCTGTTTTAAAGTCAGATTTTGTATACAAATATCTTAAAACCAGGTATGATTGTGTATTCTTAAATACGTTGGAAAGCTGTGGGATTGTTATGATTGGTAGACAGAATCTCTTGCGTTAGATGTGTTTGGATGAACATATTGGATGGTCTCTTAGTGCCTTCTGATCACAGGGGTCCAGAGTGCATTTCAGGTCCTCAAAATGAACATTTTCGACAGTCAGAACCCCCAGTACTGCATTATCTGTTTTTTATTGGTTGAATTCCAATATCAAAATTATGTTAAATTTTAGTTGCTGAGCCAGCCCTTTAGACAAGAAACTGACTTCCAATACCTGGGATTTGATTTCTTAATTTTCAAGTCATGAATGCTCAAAGGAGATTTTTTATGAAATGTACCTGAAATTGAAAATGAACCCCATATAGACATTTAAATTGAGAAATTGTTGCTAAAAAATTAAATTAAAACGACAAGATAATTTGGACTGATGAACATTAGAAATAATCAAAAATGAAGTTTGTTAGCTTTAAAATGAATATTCTAATCAACAAATAAAATTCTAAAACAGACGTTTTCATATGGACATATTAAAAGATATAAACCTTTAGCAAGGGTCACATATCTATTAAAATGGTCTTGATTTTAATGGTGTCTCTAATTTGCAAAGTAATTTCATCTTCTTAGCCAAGAAGAATCTTGCTTGAACTTTACTTTTCTAGGCTGTACATATATCAGAGAAACGTGATCATTTAAATTCTAAAGGATGTTTGTTTCTTTTAATAGCATAGCAGAGAATTAATGGCATGGGGGAGGGGGATGTGACAACTTAACTTGATGCTTGATAGCTGTTTACTTATGAATGTGTGCCACAGATTTCAGTGTCTGTAAAAGAAGGGGAAATAAAGAAACCGATGGCTTTTAGGGGACTTAAGACACGTGGAAGAAAGTGCTTAGAAGGCTGTTGAAATATTTACAAAACAAATCATTTACATTAACTTTCTTATGTGTAGAATCCCGAGTGCCCATGAAAAGACAGAACCAATTTTGGCTATGAGAAGTATTTCAGCATCAAAATGGTTAATAGTATTATAGCTTCAAAAGAGCCTATTGGCTCACCCTCAAGGATGCCCTGCAGTCGTTGTTAAAGTCATCAGATGAAGCTAGCCTTCTCAGCTAGCCTTTAGATTTGTCTGCTAACAGTAAAAATACTATAATAAATTGGTAACATATGTTGCCAGGCAAGGAAAAGTGATATAAATAAAGAGACTGGGAGACCCAAACCAAGTACAATGTGAAAAGAAAAGAATTTAACTTTCAATCTATTTGCTGGCTAATTACCATTTGAAAAGTCATTTGAAAGTGTTACTGTTATTTGCTGATATTCTTCCTCATTTTTCTTTTTTTCCTCTTCAGATTGCATTCTTACCCAAATACTCTTCGTGATGGCCTGCTTTGCGGCTTTGGGGTAAGTCCCAGTTTTCCACAACCTTAAGAAAAAAATGCATAACATAAAAGATGTCAGAAAGACTTATGTGTCCTGATATTCGTGGTCTGTGAAATATACATGGGTTTGTTGCTGGGGGTGGGAGGGATTATGAAATAAAGAGAAGGAGTTTGTTTCTTCAAGGATCAAAAGTGTGCAAAAGTGTGCGTATGTAAACGAGGCTCCCATCAGAAAAACCACCTCTGGAATGGAAATGACAAAGCTTGGAACACACACAATCAATTATTTTCACCAGCATTTAAAATATAGAAAACAAAATCTGCTTTGGGAATTGACTGAATATTTTATTTAGCTTTTTTATTGAGACATCCTTTGAAAAATGGTATAATATAAATAGTTTTACAAAGCAACAATATAATCAATCTCTAAACTAGAATATAAATCACGGATTTCATTAGCTGCTGGTAGCCAGTTTAAATTGTAGTCTTGCCCATAATGTCTATCTATCTATGTATGTCTATGTTATATTAAAAACCTTTAAATGGCTTTGTAATATCATCTACATCTAGCTATTATAATAATTAATGGTACTGTTTTATAAATCAATACATGTATTCTTGATAAATTCATATCCAGTTAATGGTGTAATTTAAATAAAAAATTAATATAATAAAGGACATACAGAAACGGGCAGGAAATCTTTAAAGGTTAAGAGCCAAATTTGTCCAAATTCATTTTTAACCTGTTTTGGAAAAGTTTATGTTTAAAATCAGCTGAGAGTTACCTTGTTTCTGTAAAACTAATCTTGCCATTTCTGGTGGTATCTAGTATTCAATTTGTAAGATGTTTTTTGACTGTTGTTTTAATTACGTAGTTAAAATACTGTGGAATATTTTACTGTCATTGTAGTATTTTGTGACTATTGAGTATTCTTTAGAACAAAAAAACCCTAAAAGCCTCATACCAGTAATTTATTTTTAATACACAAATGCATGTAAATGCTTTATTTTTTGAAAATCTCCAGATCGATATCCACATTTAGGTGGGGAAAGGACTGATTAGGTCAATAAATTTGCGTGTGTCAGAGCCGAGCATTTTCACTGCTTTCACTGAGTGAACATTCCAAGAATTTTAGAAAGAAAAGAAAAATGCATGGAAGAGTCCGAAATGTGTTTTAACGCTGTACCCGGGTACAGAAACATTCTACCAAACGATGAGTGTATTATTGTTCTAATTTAAAGAATACATATCAAAGACATATTTTAAAAATAACAAGATTTAGAAAAACAACTGAAGATTGTATGTTATCAAATACAATATCAAATCTTTCCAAATAAAATTTCATTCAGTTTATAAGAATAAGCATTTTATAAAAAATATCTTTCAAAATTATGCAGACCAGTCTGCCCTGCCATCCTCCTTGACATGGTGCAGAAATGTTCCTTTAATCCACTGAGGTTTTTCTGACATTTTTCTTAACATTGCTGAGCCTTATTTAGAGCACCAAAGGAGGCGTGTGCAGTTTCCTTTGACACTGATGGGTGTTTCAAAATGTTACACGAGAGAGAGCGGGGAGAAAAAAAGAAAAGATTTGCTGCCAGTCACCTCATCAATAGAGCTACACAGGCAATTACTATTTGATAAAAGTTTACATTTCAAATGAAGCTAAATTTTAAAGAAGCCTCATCCTTTTAGGACTGGTGCTTGGAAGACAGAAGAAGAGAATACACATTAGTGATTACATGTTAAAATGCACTCAAGTACTGGAACCATTTAAAATGTATTGTGTTTTTAGTCAAAACCTGCAGCAAAACCACTCCTAAGAGGCTTAATTTAGGTTTTATAGGAGGAACATAAAAAAGACCAGGTTACAGCAACATGCTGAAATATGGGGTACATTTTAAATATCTTCATTTAAAAACGTATGTTTATTTCCCCTCCTGGGATCACTAACGTGTGTCTCCACAGAGAAGGCAAGGACATGCATTCTTAAAAATTATCTGTTAAAGGGATCACATTCCAAGACAGGTTTGAGCATTTTTATTACTACAGATAACCTCTTAATTATGTCACTGCCTTCCACTTGTTAATCAGGGACATTCAACATAGTTAACTATAGAGTGGTTGCCTTTAGAAGAATATATTATTATTAAGGATTAGAAACACATTTTATTCCTATAATCATATTGCATTTAGCACTGCTAAAACTATACTTAACCTGCTTTAAATACATAGCACCTATGAAAGAGTCTAGATGCCTATAACAACGTTGTTCATTAATTCAAACTGTGCAGTCCATGAAAAGCTTTAAGAGAGATAATTTCACTCTTCCTGTTTTTCCCTCCTTCCCCATGTCCCACGCAATTCCTATTTGAATTGATTTTAGGCTTCTTCTGTAGCCACCAGCATCTGAGATACTCAGGTACTCTTTCAGAGACCAAGGTGTAAGTGAAGTAAATAAAATCATGTTTCACTGTTGCTTTATCAACCCTCCTAGGTAGTTTTTCTGCCAGTCAACCAGAGCTGTTAAGACCCATAAAATTATGCAATAGTGACTTCTTTGGAGGTTCTCTGATCAGATACTGGCTGACGTTAGGAGGCGAGGGCCCAAGGCAATGTTGCCGGGTTGTCATTACACTGTGGTTGGTCATTACTTGTCTAGTAGAGACCAATAAACAGCTGATTACTATCCTATACGGAGCCAATATTTTACATTTATCCTAGTTATTTTTCCTTTTCAAGTTCTTATAACAGGAAGTATTTGTCAAGAAGATCTATGAGTAATAGCCTCCCAGGCACCTTAAAAATAAGAATTTTCCTACCATGAAATGGTGCCTTTTGTGGAAAGGTGAGAATGATTCTAGTTTTTACAATAGCAAAGGTTTGATTTGTTTCAAGTCCATTTCATTCAAACAGGGACACTCCCGACACCATCCCTGCTGCTCCCTGTCCCTTTGACAGGTTCACAGGCTGCAACTAAGGGTTTTTAAAATGCAAATGTTTATATTAATATTTGCACTCTGGCAATAACAGACCCATTTTGCTTCCTCTGTAAGCCTGTGATAGTTGATGCTTTATACCTGGAACTGTGTTTCATTTATCTCTTTACCCATGAAGATAGTGTATAGATAAAAGGTAATTTATGGAAAGGAACCAACCATTTGAAATAATAATCCCAAATCCAACTAAATAATCTTTTAAAGCTGTAAGTGTCAGAGATGGAGATTTCTAAACTTTTAAAGAAAACTTGATTGCAAACGGGTAACTTGTGCATTTTTGAATGCTTATTGAATTTGAATGTCTGTGTGGGCCAAAAGAGAACCAGAGGGACAAATGGAAGTCAGGAAAGAAAAGGTGTGAATTTTAGATGTGTTTTAAATTAAGGTATTTAACGACATATTAGACACATTACAATTTTATGGACTTTCTCTTTACGCTTGAATATAATTTTTTACTAGCCGATGCAAACTGCAAAATAGCGTGTCTCCTAAGGTGCCCTTCCTTCCCTGGGATCCTCATCATAGAATGAACAGAGGTACATCAATAAGAACTGGACCTTGATTTCACAACCTCATATAAAGCCAGGCAATTCCTGAGCCAAACAAACAAAGGGGGTGTAAGCGATTTCATTTATTTTGATAATCCTCCTCTTGCACAGGAGCATTTTGCTGTCTTTGTCAAAGTGAATGACAACAATTTGGCCAACTCTCTCTGAGCTGCACTCAACAGTGACAGGCAAATTATCAGAGGCCCTGCACTTCTTATTATCAGAGGAGAAGCCATCAGGGGGACGCATGGAGGATACCTCTCCCTTGTCACTATTTGTCAGTGGGACAAGGGCCACTGCTATGGGTAGCTGACAGGTAATTTCAACAATAACAATTACTCCTATTACTGGTGTCATAAACAATTCGCCCAAGGCATGACAATAGCAAAGCTTTATAATTCAATGCCATATAAATAAATGCCAGCAGGTAACAAGTAATTTAGCTCCAATCAAGCTTTCACCCCGGCATTAATATTGTTATTGCAAGAAAATGGAAAATTGAAAAAATTCAATATGTTAATGAATTAAGAGAGGTTCAAGGGCTCAACAAGAAGAGTTGGAAAAAGGAAACCAAAATTGTTGTAGTATCATATTTGGTGCCATCCTGGGGGCCAAACATCAGTATAATTACTTTAAGACAAGAAGGGGAACTGGAGTACCCTTGACCTCAGAGCAGGGAAAAATGTGATATGAGCTTTCAAAAAATCCACGTAGCTCCAATTTCCGAAGAATATGAGAGGAAATATGAGAATGTATGTATAATGTAGCATTTCCCTGGCTTTCTTTTTCTACCTGAAATATTTCATATAAAGAAGAGACATAAGTATCTAAGGAATGTTTCCATCTGTTTAAGAAAATCGTATCAGCACCTGCTTTCTTTACATAGAGTCTCATAATGAAACTATTTTAATAATCCTTTTTTTATCTGGGGTGAAGGTAAAGCTGAAAGTCATCTTTGCTCTCCAGCTGTCCACCTTTTGGAAGTAGACTAGAGGATACAGTGTTATCTTCATACGTAAAACTTCCTGATCAAACCAATTTGCAATTTTAGTATTTGTCCGGCAAGACAATGTGCCATCACGGTGACAGCAGTAGAAGAATCTGAAAATCTCTAATTAGGAGAGCTGCACACCAATTAACGCATGTCAAATTTCACTTCATCAAGTGCCACTCTAATTTTCCCTCTAAAAATTAATGGATTTTTTTTTCTTTTGGTATGTGTGTGTGTCCCCTTAAGGCAATGTTGATTCAAATCTGCTCAAGATGCAGTGTTGCACAGCTAAGCATCTTCTTGATTACAATCCGCCACACTTCTAACTGCGCTCATTCGCACTGCCACAGATACTTTGTCAACAGTCAAATTACACCACGCTGATAACAATGCATAATGGTGTTCCTCCTCCAGTCCCCTGTCAGGAGAGGGGCTTCATAAAAATGTGATGTTTTCTTCTCAACTGTTTCTAAAGGAAGTTGATATGACCAGTTCCCCAGTCAGGCATTAATTTTTAAAATTAATTTGTTAATTTCAAATAAAGAAGAAGGAGCAAAATGATGGCATATGAAAATTCTTCATTGAAAAAAAAAATCAGCGGAAGAATGAGGAATGGAGAATATCTGTGGCCAAAGTTTTGCTTAAACACTTTGTTCGGAGACATTTTCAAGAGCACTATTCTTGGTTAAATACCAGATTTTTTTTTTCTTTACTTATAGTCTATAAACATTGGAAGCCTCTCTTGAACAGACTGTATTTAGATTGTGCTAGAAGTTTGTTTAACTGCCATATTTGCCAGAATCCTCAAAACATCACAGGACACAGAAGACAAATGACTTTTTTTTTGGTGGGGGGCGGGGCATAAGGGGGTCAGGATTGTATATTCCGGATAAATGTTGATTCACTTTTAACTATTTTTTATCCTAGTTGCTTGTTGCAGATTGGTGTGTCTGAGGCAATAGCACATGTGGGGAATATTTCTCACTGAAAAATGAAAGAAGTGCAGTCATTAGAAGATGATTTTACATTTTGTCTTTTTAGAGATTATTCAGATTTCTTATTTTTAAAAAAAATCAGATCGAGAACAAAAACAAGGGAATTAAACAAAATTTAAAATATATTTGTTGATAGATTATTCAGGGAGTTGAGAACATTCACACGGGTTGACATCCCAGTTTTCTCAGCATATATAAGCATGTTGTAATCATTTATTCACTAAAAATTTAAATTCATGAGATCTACACTTTATTTTCTTTAAATTTGCAGGACAGATTTAGCTTCTTACTCACTGATGACTAACTCAAAAATATAAAAAAATATTTTTAGGTTCATATTTCCGAATATTAAAAGTCTCTTCCTTCTCTTATGACCCCACCGTAGCATGTTCTTAAGTGGTCTGTTTCAAACAAAAGAAAATGACATCCCTCTTTCAACTAGCCAAACATTAGATACTCTCAGAACTGATTGGGGATTCACTAGAAGTTTTGCAATTAGATTCACACAAACTGAATTATTTTCTTTTTTCCCAAACATCGTTCTTAGAACTTTATAAATGTGGCAATACTGGCTTTACAGTTTCATGTGGCTTATTTACAAATAAAGGTATTTTGATAAAACTAAGTTCTGTGTACCTATGAAAAACAAAAAGCTGGAGTAATCTCACATTAAAACATTACAAAAGGATTGTAAAGGGAAATTTAAAGGGAGAAAATTTGATTATATAATGCAATCCAGCAGTAATCAATTTTACCTTCAATATCTTGCTTTTGTTTTCAAAATGCTAAATAAACAATACATAATGCATCCCTCATCAGCCAAACCATGGAGGCTCTGTGCTCAAATAACAGGAAACATATTCAATTTTCCTAACAGAAGACAGTTCATTAAGCTGTGCCACATCAAATAAAACTTTAATTTCTCCAGCATCAGAGTCGCAATGAAAGCAATTGAAGAAGATGAGCCATATGGTACTTCTATCAGCAAACACATATTGCTCATTCCCCCAAAGTTTTCTAATTCTGCTCCCCAGACCTGTGTAATATAGATAATGTGCTCGGAGAGCAGCAACCATGAGCTATCTAGTGTACACTTCTAATACTGTATTTAATGGGAAATAATGAATCATAAAAGCCTAGAGAAGACGGCTTTTGCTAACCTAAATCTCAGCTGTAATTTCATTGTTCTGTGCCTAAGATGCTGTTTGCCCTTTCCAAACAACAGCAGTTGAACATAATTATGCTGCTTCGAACCTGGGCTTGAAAAAGCATCCCTAATATAACCAAGTTTCTATTAACTCCTGAAATTCCGAATTTAATGATGCACTGATACAGACGTTGAGATAACCAAGCATGTGTCATTTTAAAATCCAAACAAGCATTTTTCTCCTTTTTCTCTTTGGTCATCCTGCTCAATGCTTATATGCTTCCTCCTCCACCCCTTGCTTGCGTCCATCCCTCACCCCACACCCCACCCCATGCAACAGGAGTGGCATGATTAAAAAATGAGGAGATTTTCTTGTTATTAGCAAATTTGACATTTGCCTGATGAAATGCACATAAAATGTGAAAGCTACACAGTACTCAGGAGAATGTCTCCACTCCAATCCTCGCTACCAAGATGAAATAATTTAGGTAAAGGCAATGTAAAGGTCCTTGTACATCTCTTGCTGCAGAATGCTAGGGTTGTGTTATAAATGAAAGAACCAAATATTGCTGAGATTTTAGAGTGATCGTATTTTGATACACGAGAAGCACATAGTGTTTCTTCTCTCACCTTAGCTGTTTTGACAATTCACCTAAATATAACACATATGCGCGAACGCAGCAATTTACGTGTCATGAGCCTTTCTCTGGTTTAAGATCTTGGGTCTGGGGCTTTGTTCATTTTTAGGAAAAAATGTTGCCTTTTCCTCTAACTAGGTCAATAATTCCAGCTTTTCCATTTTTAAAGGTTATCAAATCAATATTTTACCAACATGATGCTAATTTAGAATACCATCAAATAACACCGTGGATACATATTGAAAACATACTTTAATGGTTTTGTTTGTTTTGGCATCATATGAACGAAGAACAATTAAATTAAAAAGAGACTTTTAAAAGTTAGAGATTGCCTTTTTAAAGCTTATTAAAATCAGCATGTTAACATGCCTGTCTCTGAATTAGCTCTCACACTTGATTGCCATCATTAAAACTAGTTGTTTGGGTGCTGCTTAAAGCTGATTCTTACTAGTTATTAACTTGAAATCTCTTTCCATTGAAATGTAAAAAAAAAAAAAAAAAAAATCATTCTCACTAGTGGAAGAAACAGTCACCAAAACATGAACTAGCACAGCACGCCAGCAACATTAAACCACGAAAAGACCAACAGGTAAAATAACTACAGTAACATCTAAAACACACTCAGGAAAAAAAAAATCACAACAACAACAAAGAAGCAGTCCATTGATTATATTTCATGAATGCCTTAAAACAAATGTTTAAACAGTTTTCTGAAACAGTGCAGAAAACCTCTGCATGCTCCACTGGGTTGCAGTGACAATGGTCTATTGCAATGTAAAACACGCTGGAGGATAAAAAGGTGCTTTTTGTTACCATTTTATCAAAGCTGTTCATCTTCGAGCTGCAGGCAGCATTTTGCTGGAATTGCAGATATTTCTCTGTCCAGGCTCCTTTGTTTGTGCATCTCATTTGCATATATTTATCTCCAGCTGAGGGTGCGTTCTGCTCATTAAGGCCTCCCTTCACATTATTTCATAAGCCAGCTGCTGAGAGGGATTTCACCTGTGGTGACTGAGAAAAGAGGGGTGAAAAACTAAATTCTTCATAAAAAGGAAATCTTCTGAGTCTCTTCCCCTATAAATGGGCACCATTTGTGTTAAACAGCCTCTTGTCATGATAGATGCCTCCAGAGGTCAGGGGTTAAAGTTGATTTGAAGGTCAGCAGTAAAACAACAGACAAACCAGACGCCAAACTGGTTCCTTAGCTGTCGGTGGGAGCTGTGGTACAACCAGGTCTTGAACCTTTTTCAACCTCTAATAAAACAGGGGATGAATCTGAAGTGGATCAACCAGGCCCCTGAGGAAGCAGCACAGAAAAACACAAATAATATCAATATCAGGCAGCCACAGGGAAACAATGGGGCATTTCTCCGTGCTACATGCATGCTGCTATTGTTTCAAGGGCTGGGGAATTAATTCCACTTATTTATTTAAGGCGTGTCAACTCACTGCCTAAACCTGTTTCAGTGTCAAGATGAATAAAACTTTTATGGCTCATAAAATAGAGCCATTCATCTCAATGTTCTTTGTGGTGCTTTTTTTTTTTTTTTTTTTTTTTTTTCCTGGCATACTGAGCTAGGCCTCTGCTCTGAAATGGTTACATCTGAACCCACTGCTGCTATGATCCACACCATATTAGAGAAAAAAATTATTTCACTGGCAAATGAATCTCCACAGAAATGATACAGGGAGGCATTTTAGCTACGATGTAATAGCTCCAAAAATTCTTCTAAATAGTCCGCACGCAGTTGCATCTGTTTTGAGCATGCATTATTTACAAAGCAGAAGTTTCACCATTTTAGAGGAAAAGTTCAAAAGAGATAGCAGTGAGGATATTAGTTTTCTAGAATACTCTGCCACGTATTTCATTTTACTTTAGAAATGCAACCTTGTTAGAATAACTCTTTCCCATTCATCATTTTTTGCCCAAGTTTTTACTGTTCCATAGTCAGCTTATAGTGATGTAATAATCAAATGCCTTCTTTAACTCCATTGCTCAGAATTTTATGTTTGATTTTCAGCATAAAATGGCACACATAAATGGAAAAGAAAATGCATTTATGTGCTTTTTGTATTATAAATTTTTTAAAAGTTCAGTTATAGAATTAATTTTGCTTTTTATTTCCTGACAAATGACTTTAATAATAATATAATACAAATAAACAGGTTAACATTTCTAAAGTGCCACATGCAATGTGAAGCACATATATTTTTTCATGCAATTACTAGTAATAATTCAATCTAAGTCACACAGGTCCACTTAGAATGGACTGTAATAACACTATTTATTATTCACAACACATTTTAGTTGAAACAAAATGTTCCAGTCACACAATATCATCAGTATAGCAGATCATTATAGCTTTAACAGGTGACATCATGGTAACACATTGCTTTATATTAAAATGAGTAAAAAGAAGCAATTTGATGATATTTCACTAATTTTCTAATCACAACATCAGTCCTATATATTCCAGGTTTTTTGCTCTATTGCAATGTAAATTGATTTGTGAAGGATTCACTTACTATCTTATCCTAGTTGCTTTGTTTTTTAGTTCTCTATTGAATATTGTAGGCTTTACATATGATGCTGGATTATTTCTGATATAGTCAGTTGGTAGGTAAGGGTTTTCCCCTGCAAACTCGAGTTTTTCCAGCAAGTAGATCATTTGAGAATGGCTCCAAATAAAAGCTGTGCTTTCACATTCTGCTGATACACAAACATTTAGCCCTGAGAAAGAGGGATTCATTTTGGGGTGCTAAGCACTGCTCACGATGTAAGTGCTTTTTATTTCCCATTGGAACTGGTGCATGCACCTTACAGATGGACCAGTTGCTTTACATACCGGTGGCCCATTTACAAAGCAGCTCTGTTTGAAAACCAGTGCCTTCAAGTGAGCCACCAGGCTCTAAGAAAAATATTTAAACACATAATTGATTGGCTTTTGGTCATCAATGGCAATGTGTTCTCATTTAAACATAGAGCAGGGGATTTTTCTTCTATAACCAATTACAGTTTAAAAAATGCAGTGAATCTTGCTTCACACAAGGAGCTTAACTTGTGGTTGGAGAAATTTTCCAACATATTAAATATTGTTTATATTCTCATTTTGTAGACCCTTTGTCTTCCCAAAGCATTTTGTAACTCCCTCTGTAATTCACTTATCGATTTTCTTTCTGACCTTTCATACTAAACTCAACCACACCCACGCCCCCAAACCCAGAACCTCCTAGTAACTAGACTAGAACAAAAATATACAATTTACTCTCTCCATATCTGTACCGACGTCTTTCATTTTTCTTGTACTCTAATCTAATCGCTAATTCATAAGCTTTGGCCAAATAGTTAAAAATGTTAAGTGCTAGCAAAGCCTTTTACCTCCCCCTCAGATCTGTCTCTGTTTATAGAATGGGTCCCAGTTTCCTCCTCTTCTCCTTCAGCCCGGGGTCTTCAGGTCAGAACACTGTAAATACACACAGCCCTTGCTGGATCCATAAATCTGAGCAAAGGGCAGGCCTATATATTCAGATAAGCAGGGGCAGAGATAGGGGCATGAAAGGAGGGAGAAGTAGCGGAGTCTGAGACTCTGCAGCCCTGTTCAGAGAACTGAACTCAACAGACCAAGAATCCTTAGTGCAGAAGAAATAATTTTGCCTTGAAACATCTCCCCTTATTTCTAATGGATGAGGTTGGCACTGCTTCCTGTTCGTTTATTTTATTTTTTCCACATTGCTTACATTCACATCCTTACCAAATATATTATCTTAGAGGCAATCAAATTAAACAATAAATTAAATTTATTTCCAATGTCTTGTTTTCTTAAGTGTGTTTGTGTTTTGACCTGTGTGTGTGTGTGTGTGTGTGTGTGTGTGTGTGTAATGTGAATTGAAGTCATTTTACCAGAAATGCTTCTCTACTATAATTTTTCAATCTCAAAGTCTTTGACTGTATAACTGTATTGTTAGCTACCACACTGAATCCCCAAGAAAAATACATCTAATGGAGGAATGACAAAGTGACAAATAAATGCTTACATATCCTTCAGTCTTCAAGGCTTCTATTTTATTCCTGGGTCCAAGTACTTTCTGTTGGATTTTCACTTCTTTAACTTTGTCTTTTCCTGGATGGAAAAATTAGTGATAATTCCATGCAGATAAGAAAATTTTATAGAAAAATATTGCCAAGAAAGTAATTGGGCTGGGAGCTTGGCATATTACTTACACTAGAGCCTCATTTTTGACAAACCCTTTAAATGATAACAAAAATGATAATAATCACTGTGTATCATTTATCGAGCACTTCTTGGAAAGCAAGGCACTAGGTACTTAAGATATATATTAATTTTCATCTTTACGAGTGGTAAGTGATGTACTACTCTACAGTCTCAATTTTATAAATGAAAAAAGCCCTCCAATTTGAAAAGTAAAGAAACGTAATCTAGAACACACATGGAAGCCCAGAATTTGAAAGTGGTTCTGGCTTTAGAGGGTTGTTTCCTGAGCTACCTCCCATGGCCTCAGGTTTTGCATCTTCGGGATGAGTGTCTTAGGTGGTTGGGTGTCTGTCTATTCAGTGGTGATCTCCCATGGTCAGTGGATTTTCACCAGCCCCTACTCTTCTGAGCCTAGCCTTTGCATCTTCAATAGCTCTCTGGCATCTGGGCTTGTCTCTCAAAGACATCCTGGACCACGTGTCTGAAATGAACTCACTGATTCTCTACCCCTCGTGTCTCTACTCTGTGATCCATGTGATGTGTAATCGGAGCATCCTTGATTCTGTAGTCTGAGCTTTAGGCTCTCTAACTACCTACCTTGTTTCACCTGTCTATATTATCATCCAATCTGGCAGAGAAGTGACCTATGCAGGGGCATTACAGTCTTACCACCTGGGTTTAAACCCTGACTCCCCTGTTTACCAGCTGTGCAGTGCTAGACAAGTTACTTTACTTCTTCTGTGCCTTGATTTTTTTCATCTGTAAAATGGAGTCTGAAATATTATTTATTTTATAAAGTGGTCTAATTCAGACTGTTGCTATTGTTTGACAGAACTATTAACATAGCCTTCAGGCTGATAATGCAGTGAGGCTCCTCCTTCTGTAATCCAGCCCCTTGGATTACAGAATAAAATCAATAATAAGCATGATAATTTCTTGCTTAAAAATCTTTAAAACTCCATATTGCCCTCAGGTCAAACTATTGAATCAGGAAAAGGCTTTCATTATTTTCCTCCAACTGCCCTTTCCAGAGTCATTTTCCACCACGACCCTCTAAGCAATTTCCACTCTAGCAGCAAAAAATTGTACATACGATGTTCTTTTGTGTCTCCAGACTTTTGACTGTACTGTGCTCTCTATCAGGAGTGCCCTTCCTTCCAATTTCCATGTAGCAAAATACATTTATCTTGCATGGCTCAGTTCAAAAGTCACTTTATTTTTTTTAAGGCAAGATAAATTGAGTCGGTCACTTCTAGAATGCATTCTTCTGTTTTAGAACCTAATATGTTGATAGCAATCATATGCACAGTAATTATTTGTCTACCACTAGGCTGCGGACTGCTGTGGGGAGGGACTATGTTTTGTTGAATTTGATATCTTTTGTTCTAGGGCCTCACATGGAGTGGGAGCCTCCCAAATTTAGATTAATATGTAAAATATCTTTTCTCACTCCTAAAAATGACTTAGAGCAAATGTGAATCAAATGACTGTAACATTGTTAACTTAGTTGAATTAACTCCTGTTAGCTTAAGATAATAAAGGCAGTGAACTTGTAAGAAAATTAAATTAAAAACTCCAGTGCAATTATAGTGTTCTTACTGTCTCCAAGATGAAACCATGATATGTTTTTTTCCTAGCACACATGTCACATTTTTCTGACATCATAAGAAAATCTGAGAATGGAAGTCCTTTCAAGCATTTCATTTGTTACCAAACATCTATATTCCATATATCCCATTAGGAAGGGAGCCTGTTTTTCTCTTATCTGTCCTTACTCTAAGCTTAATATGTTATGGGAGAGAGTATATTCGTGGTTAAGCTCATAGGCTCTGAATCTGGAATGTCTGTGTTTAAATGCTGGTGCTGCCATTTATAAGCTGTGCAACGGCTGGAAACAGTTTTCTTGGGACCTGTTAGCTCATCTATGAAATAGGTATGATAGTAACAGTCAGTAAAGAGAGTGGTTATGAGGATCAAATGAATTAATGCATCTAGGACTTAGGACTAGTTCATGTATCTAGCACTTAGATGAGAGCCTGGCTTATACCAGGTGCTCTAAAAATGTGTCTTCTTATTTGGTTGGTGTTTATAAGAGAAATCCTGACAGAAATGTGAGGAGGATTTCATCATCAGAGAACAGTGGAAAGAGATGGAAGAGTCTTGAGAGCTTGTGAGAATGTCCATTAACCTGTGCAAGGATCAGTTGATCTATTTCAGGTATAATTATAACACTTCCATGATTTAAGGCTTCATGTTATCATTTAACACGTGGAACTACATGTAGGAATGAACCCAAGTATAAACTCAGCCATCAGGACTTAGCTCCAGAACTGTCCTGCCTGGGTTTGAATCCCAGCTCCATGACATGCTGGCTGTCTCACCTTGGGCAAGTGTTTTCATGTATTAAAGATTAAATTTTCTCATCTGGCAAATGCAAAAAAAACGAGTAATTTTTACCTTTTACTTGTTGTGGCACTTAAATGAAAAACCACTCAATATCACAGTGCCTGTCATATGGTAAGTGCTTAAAATGTGTTGACTACTATTTTCATGTTGCAAGTATTATTAAATATTTTTACCACATGGTGTGGTTTTTTATATAGTTATGGAAAAGAGTAAAAACATATATTTATGTAGATGTAAAAAGATAAGGCGAACACCTCTATACTCACCATCCCAGGTTAAATAATAAAACCTTAAGGAATATGACCTGCAGGCCTTTCTGGACATATTCCCATCTCTCTCTTCAGCAGGTTACTGTTCTCCTGGCCTTGGGATCATCATATACTTGCTTTACTTTATAAGTTTAGTTCTTATAAATGTACCACTAAACAGTTATGTTATTTGGTTTTGTCATTTATGAATTTTATAGTAATGTAATAGATACATATTTATATATTCTGTGTTTTGCACTCAGCAGATGCAGCTGGATTGATGCGTGTACTATATTTCATTCAGTCTCATGATGTATAGCATTTTATGATATCAACACTCTACAATTTACTTTGCTATTATTTTTCATATTGACGGACATCTGGACTGTTATTTATTTATTGCCATTACAATTGCTGCTGTATAGAACATTCTTGTACATGTGCCCTTATAGAAGACTTTCTAGATATACACCTTGGTGTGTATATATAAAGGCTTTCTTTAGGAAGTTAGACCTGGGATTGGAGTTTGTCAGTCATAAGACATGGGAATATTCAAATTTACTAGGTAATGGTAAACTTTTTTTTAAGTGGCAGCAGATGAAGGAGTTTTCAGCACATTATTAGGTACCTATTTCAGATCCTCATAAAAATTATATATGTGATAGTTAGTCTTCAAGATTCCACGGTTTCAATATAAAATCCAGATCATTCCCTTCTCTTGATGGTCACACCCTTGTGTGGTCCCCTCCCACGTTGTGCCAAGGCTGGTCTGTGTGACCAACAGAATTCAGGAAGAGTGATGGCATTATTGCTTCTGTTTTGGATGTCTTTCTTGTCTCTTTTGCATCTCTCACTCTGGAGGACCCAGCTACCCTGTTGGGAGCAATTCTATAGAGAGGCCCATAAAGTGAGGAGCAGAGGTCTCCAGCCAACAGCCAACAAAGAACTGTGTCGTGCCACCATCCATGTGATTGAGCATGGAAGCCAGTGTCTAGCTCCTTGGGTCTTGAGATGACTGCAGTTTGAGAGCTTGACTATAACATCATGAAAGATCCTGAACCAGTATTGCCCTGTAACTGGTCATGAGCCCACAAAAAACATAAGAGATTATAAATATTTGTTGTCTTAAGCTAAGCTTTGAAGTAATTTTTTATGCAGCAAAGATAACTAATACATATTCCACTAAAGAAGTAAAAACCTCCAAGTTCCCTTAAGGAATATGTGAAATAAAGAAGGATATTAAATTGATTTGAGAATAACATTAAACGTTGATGCCCCTATAATTCTAGGTGTTATTAAGTTAGTTGCTCGTGTAAAAAAAAAAAAAAACCATAGGGATGGGAGACTAAGGATAATTTATGATCCATAACTTGTAGCAATGCATGTTAATTTAAGTGTGTTCACTTTTTTCAGTTGATCTTGACTTATTATTATTAGAGTCCTTTAGATGTCTTTACAGGTTATTCTTGATGCAAAAACACTCATTATAACATAATAGCAAAGAAAGTCATTTAATTATACAGAAATAAGAGAAATTTAAATAAGTCATATATCTACTCAACAGAATATTATAAAGTCATGACAAAATAGGTATATTTTTAAATGACATATTCCCAGCATAATGTTAAGTGAAAAGAGTGGGATATGCTACGCAAACAGTGTAAAACCAACTTTTCAGAGACTTAAGAGTGAAAAATGGCATCTCTTAGTTATAGGATTATGTGGGAATTTGTTTTCTTCATGAAACTTCTGGACTTTTAATGTCAAATAAACATGTGTTAAGACTTATTGTTAGAAAAAATGTATTAACATTAAAGAAATTACTCTTAATTTATTTTTAATAATACAAAGAAATGAGTACAGCACACTTTGCCTTCCGATTGGGAAGAAAATCTTATCAAATATATACCAAAAATCAGCATCTGGAAAGGTTCTGGTTGCTGTTCCGGGTTGGCTTCCTTTCAAATTATCTTGGTATTTGGATCTAATCATAGTCTTCTATCTTGCTGTAATTTCTGGTCCTTTTGATTTCTCTTACAGAAATGAAGATATGTTCTAAGAAGTGTGTCCTTAGATGATTTCGTGGTTGTGCAAACATACCATGTGTTTACACCAACCTAAATATTATAGTATAGCCTACTACACAACTAGGCTGTGGTGGGATAGCCTTTTGCTTCTGTGCTACAAACCTGTACAGCATGTTACTGTTCTGAATACTGTAGGCAATTATAACACAATGGT